CTTTCCTTTGTATGTGATTTGTTTCTTTTCTCTAACTGCTTATAGAATTTTGTTCTTCTGTTGGGTTTCTGGAATCTTAACAATTATATGCCTATGTGTAGGCTTTTTTTGATCAAGGCTAGGTGGAGTCTTATATGCCTCACTTATCTGTATGTCAAGTTCTTTTGTCCTACTTGGGAAGTTTTCTGCCATTACTTCCGTGAACAGTTTTTTTATGTCATTTGCACTCTCTCCTGTTTCTTCATTGACTCTGATCAGTCTTATGTTATTCTTCTTTGCATTGTCTAGCAGCTGCTGGATTGATCTCTTGTGGTTCCTTACTATTTTGAAGCAATTTTTCTTTTCCTGGTCACTAATTGCAGTCTTCTATGTCTGAAATTCTGTCTTCACATTGGCTCCTTCTGCTGTGTAAGCTTTCAGTGGATTTTTTAATCTCCTGGAAATCTGTTTGTGTCTGTTTTATGGAGTCCATTTGTTTTCTATGTTGGGATTCCATCATGGTCCTCAGGTCCTCAATTTTTTCATCTGTATCTTCTCTAGATTTATTAATCATGTCTTACACTATGGGCACAATCTCTGCTGTTATCTGAGAAATTATTTCTGATTTTATTTTTTCCAGATCCTCTTTTGTTGTCAGTTCAGGGAGTTCAGATGGTTTTGTATCAGAGCGTTCCACCTCGTTTCCCTTTGGCGTTGCTGTAGGTGATCTGGAAGTCTGGTTTTGAGACTTGTTTACGTGTCTTCTCATTTCGGGAGGGGGGGGTTGTTGTTAGTGCTCACGTGGCTCACCTTCTGTGCACTGAGAGGGGTGGTACAGTGGCCCAGAAGCCTCCTCCTGGGCACTGGGAGCAGCTCACCTCCTGTGTGCTCTACTTTATATGTATTTTAAAAATCACATTTAGCATCACTTCTCGGCCTTTTGACTAAGATCAAGTGTAAAAATCACATTTAGCACCACTTCTATGATTTTTTTCAGCAAATACATTACCATTTCCCTTTGAACTACCAAATGATAATAATGTCTCTGGGAACATCATTAAGATTCAGGTATCTTAAAATGTCATAAATTATATCTTCATTGCTTTGAGTCAGCTTACTGAAGCTAAATATTTTTAATCTTACTATGAAATCCTTTAGCATTCACATGACATTTCTAAGAAGTGCTAAAATGGCACTATAATCATCTTTCTTCTCTGTTTGGGCTTCAGAAATAAGTTTTGAAACCTAAGGATGTGGAGCTTCTTCATGTTTGCCAAATAGAAGAAACTAATTGGCATCAATTTTATGTACAAGCCAGTAGAATAAAAGTATTTTTGGCCTTTTCTTAGAAATCAATGGAGTGCCTAAAATACAGAGCTTTCAATGAGTTTGAATATGGTTTCTAAGATAACCATGTGGTATCAGTCAGGGACCTATGAACCTACCTACTCACCTATCTGACCTATGCTTCTCCTCAATACCTATAGTCTCATGCTACTGCGTGAATTGATCTGTCCCCAGTGAGGGAGCTGCTTCAACTCAGCCCCCAAGGAGCCCTCCTATGAGGGTATCCTACATTCTTCCCACAATCTCCCCTCATCACTCGATGTTGAGAGGACCAGAGTAGCAGACCACGAGGAGGCTCATCCAGGTCTTGCCCGAAAGCTCCTGGTCTAGCAGGGGCTGTGGCAATGAAACTGGTAACTGGGTAAAGGCTATCTTAACTGGAATGTGAACTAGAATGTTCTTGCCTCTTTGCAGTTGGGATGGTGGCCTTCAGCAAAGGCTGCAGAGTTGTTCTACATCTTGAAGCATTATAGAAATTCTGATTAGGATAGCCAGAGATAGGATTATAACAAGTGACAGAGGTGTATTGTAGAGTTTAGATCAGACAAAATTTAGAAAAGGTGTTTGGGAGGGTGAGTGTCCTTGGAGAGGAACTAAATCACTGGGCAGGCACCAGTGAAATGAAATGGTAAATCTTGTCTTTGAGAGAAAGTTCTGAGAAAATGTGAGAATTGAGGTATAACTGAAAGGAGAAAGGGAAACAGCCAGGATTTCTCTTCTTCTGTCCATTGTTAGAGCCAAGTGTTTCCTATGTGTCAACTGATGTGTTACCTCAAATGATGAAAGGATGGTAAAGGAAAGCAGGTCCATGGGAAGAGTTCTGAGGCCAAGAGGAGGGTCTCTGAGTAGGAAAGTGAAATGCTTAATCCTTTGGGGTGCAAAGCACTCTTGGGTGAACTAAAGGAGGATGAGGACAATTACCGAGGTTCTGTGAGGTGAATCAGAGCCACTTCCAGAGCTTCCCTTCTTTGTTCTCTGGGCCAGGGAAGTGCCAAAACGAAGGGCCTCATAGACAGGGTCCACCTTATTGCCACAGGCTGCAACAGAAGAGAAGGAACATTTGAGAAAGCTCATCTCAGAGAACCCAACCAATCACCTACCACAACTTCTGGGGGGAACAGAACCTGAGAAGTACGTTCTATGCTCTGATATTTCCAAGTTATCTATCTGCAGAATTCCAATTTTAAGTTTTTTCTCAAAGAGGAGTTTTATTTCCTCTGGTGAGAGGCTCTGCTCACCAAGGTACAAAGTTTTGAGACACAAAGTTTGTAATAGAAGGCAAGTTTTTCAAAAGAATTTGAAATTATTAGGCTTCGAGAATATCTACTAAAAGTTTTGTAGTTTATAAATTTCTAGTTTAAATCCTGTTCCACTAAAAAGGCAAAAATAGGTGTAGAGATTTTCAGAGAAAGAAAAAAGATCAAAGCAAATTGAAAGATATTGTAAAAGAAGAAATTGAAGCCAGATGTGTATAAATATAGGGCATTTTTAGGTTCTTATTAAAGAATAACCAATATTCACTGAGTTCCTACTCAGCATTGGTTTATAACATATATTTATTTTTTACAATAATTATTAAAAGCAGTGACTGCTGTTCTCTTTTATAGCATCTGACAGGTTGAATTATTTGTTCAAATCCATAATTGGTCAGTGAGAATGCTGGGCTCAGCACCAGGTCTGTGGGCTGCCATGTCCCATGCTCTTTCCACTCTGCTACATACACATGGTTGGCAAAGAATTTCAGCAGCTTTTGGGACTTGGGTGTATTTCAAGTTTCATCAGAGAGAAGTTGAAAATTCTGGTAGAATTTGCCCCACCTCATGTTTCCTCTCCAGCAAACAATTACAACACACGTAGCTAATAAGAAATGCACTAAGACATCCTCTGGTTTTACAGTTTTTAGAGGACAGTAGTCATTGCTGACTTTGCTGCTCAAAGCCCACCTCAACCATTAATGTCCCGACTCACCAATGGGCATAACTTCTTTAATGCATCCAAATTGTTCCTGAATGAGCAATGGGGAGCTGTAGTAACGCCGAAACCCTTTTGGCTGGTAAGAGAATGTGAAAGAAAAGGGCTTATTATCACCCAAGAAATGAAAACTACACAAAAATCCTAAAGTTAAACTAACTCGTCTCTTCCTTTAAGGTGTTTACATTCTATTAATTCTATAATTCATTACTGACAGGGGAATTAGGGAAGGGAGGAATGATAGATGGCATTAAGCAAGTTATGCTCCATCCAGAAAGCAAACTCCTGACCCTGACTTGCTTCTCCCACCATTGCAGTGCTCCACAGCCTCGACTACATGTAAGATCCCTATTATTCTCCCAAGACACAAATGGACTCCCTTGCATTCTTATTCCATAGTTTATTGTGGTGGTCTATTAAAATCATGCTAGGCCTGGGCATGGGAAAGCAGACTTCAGGGTAGGCCTACAGCAGACTGCATGGTAGGCTTGACCTAAAGTCATTTGTTTAGCTTTTGAGATTCTGTTTATCTGACCTCTTATCCATGGTCTTTGCCATGGCCTTTGAGAACTGCTATCAGAGAAAGAGATGGGGAACCTGTGAGGCAAGAATTTGAGATCAGAGGACATTGCAAATTAGAGTAAGTAGATGAACTTTCAAAGAATTTGGACTCACTATATTCCAATGTAGGAAGGGAACTTCATGACCTGATTTTCACTAGATCCTAGAATCCTCTTCTGTGTTTCTGGCAATTGTGTCCTCCTTTGTCTGAACATTAACAGTAGTGATGGGAGGGTGGTAGTGGTATGTCAATGGGGGTAGAAGCACTTCTTAACTCCAGAACAGATCTTTGGTGACATTACCTCTGAGTGTTAAGACTTGGCATGCATGCACTAATTCTAGTCTTTCCCCTAGAGCCAGAGGAGATAATAGAGTTCCCTTTCTATGTAATAGGACTTGGATTTTCCAAAACAGTTGTTATAGTCCATCTAATTATTCTATAGAGTAGACATTCTAGGTTGAATTCTTTGGCAATCCCCATTATAAATACTCTCCCCTGTGCTCTGAGTTGCTTTTGATCAAAATGTGCGGCTCCTGAGATACTAAGATCCACTGAGAATGTGCCAAGACAGTCCCAATTTCCCTTAGTTTGGCTGACATGATTCTGTTAAAGTGGTGTAGACTATAATTCCTATCTCCTTTTGTAGATGTTAGCCATAGTCCTCTCTTGACACTTACTGAACTGACAACAAATTAAGTACTAGATGACAAACTACTCTAGTTTGGCTGAGGCTGAGGGTGTTTCTGGGATGTATGATAATTTCACTTTACAAACCTGAACAGCAGCAGGAGGCGGCACTTGCGCTAAAATTGAGAAAGTCCCAATGTGGAAGAAGCTGTTCACTTCTCTTAAGGGCCTGACTCTTCCAATGTGAGGCATTTGTCAGAGGATTGACATAGCTAGCTCCTCCTTAGATCTATCATTATGCCACTCAGGAAGCCAAGTGGGCAGATCAGGGATACTGGGTGCCTTCAAGGCTATAGAGAAGGAGTTTGGAGGGAGTGACTTCATTTGGACAGGGAATTCTAGTACTCCCTCTTGACACAAGCTCTTACCAGCTTGCCCATGCACCGCTGGGGTGTTAGGCCATCTGTACACTTGTGGTGGATGCTCATCTTACAGGCTTTGCATCGCAGTCCATGCTTAGCATTTGTTCCTGTCAGGCACATGGCAAACTTTGGTTAAGATACAGCCTAACCTTTCCTACTGACCAGTCCAAAATCACTGAAAAAAAAAGGTCATTGCTATAATCAGATAATTCTTTCCTATGACTTTTTCATGAAACTTCCAAAATGGAAAAAAAATGTTATGGTTGTTTGTCTTACACTCTTTCACATTTTTCTACCTACTGTATCAGATCTGATTTCTCTTCCTTTCTTTCCTATTCATGACTCCAGAAACCTAAGCCTTCTCTACTTTCTTTGTTCATAGCAAAATCTACTTTCCTTACTATTCATACAGGTCACTGTTTCTGCTTCTCTGTGTCTTGCTGAGTCATGCCTGTCCTCATACTTCACCAACTCTTACTTGTCTTCCTTTCACAGCATCTGAGCTCTTGAACAAACTCAAGGAAATGACTGCTAAAGGGGGAATTATATAGAATGCTGCCCATGAAGACCACCTGGTGAGGCAAGGGGACTCCAACAAATTGGTTTTTGGAGTGCAGTACAAGAATATGTCCTCATAAAGGGAGACACAAGGCCACAGGTATCCCACCAAATATCAAAGCTGACTAAAGACCCAGAGTGAGGATATTTCAAGATTAAATGTAAAATGCACCCTTTTTTATTATTTTAGCATTGTCTCCTACCCTCATCCTAGCTATCCTCATCCCTTCATCTTTTTCTACCCTTTTTTGTTTAACCCAGTATATTTTAACCCAGTGGCAGGCATAATCTTTTAAAATGTAATTGAATAACCTCTCTCTCTCTTACTTAAACATCATTCAGCATTTTCTATCAGATATCATGAAAAATGTTCACCATGACAGTAAAGTTTTGCATAATTTGGTGGGAGCCCACATTAACTTTCCCTCAGGGCAACCCCTTTTGCTCACTGTGCTTTAGCCATGTGAACTTCTTTTAGTTCCTGAATGTACAAGCTCTTGAATTCCTCAAAATCTTTACAAATCATGCTGTATATCGCTGGAACTGATTTTAATCATTCTTCACTTCACTAGTGACCCCTCTTCTTTTGCATCTCTTAGCATTTCTGTTTTTTTGAGACAGAGTCTTGCTATGTATTTCAGGCTGGTCTCAAACTCACTATGTAGCTGGGGCCAGCCTTAAACTCACAGCCATCCTCAAACTCACAGCCATCCTCCTGCCTCAACCTTCTGAGTCCTGTTGGGGTTACAGGCACATGGCACCACATCTGGCTTTTTAGCATTTCTTCAATAAAGCTTTCCTAAAACATTTTATTTCCATGTCTGAATTATCTTCCTATTACTCTTTTTGGCAGCATTCTGAGGTTATCTTTTACTGTTAATATTTATGATAATTATTTAAATTTGCTTTTTATCTTCCTTTCTCTCTTCATTGTACACTCAATGAGGCTGAGGACTGTTTGTTCATTTGCTGCTGCATACTTTGCTCTGAGTATAATGTCCAAGAAACATACATTAAACAAATTAATGAGCAAATTATTTCACAGTCACATATCTAGTGAAGCAGTGACAACTGGTTTGAGATAATTCATTGAAACAGATTCATTAACAATGTAGAAATAGCATTCAAGAGCTGAAAGTGGACTTGAAGATCTTTCTGTATTATTTAATTTTAAAGATGAGAAGCCTTGAGAGTCCAAGTGGTAGAATGTTTTGCCCCATGTAAGGCGAGTTACTGCCTAATTTCACTCTTTCACTGCTTGACCCGAATATTTTCTCTCTTTGCTTTGGATTATTTAAACTACATGAAAAAGAAACCCAAAATATAAATAAAAAACAAAATAAAGGATAGGTAATAGGAAGTATGGAGATCCTTTTCAAATGAGAAGGGGAACAAGAAATGGGGGGGCAGGAAAAGAAGGGGAAAAGGATTAAAAAGAGAATCAAATGAAAAATGGAAATAGAGCTTTTTTAAATGAGGAAGGAATTAAGAGTTGGAGGGAGCAGGGATGGATGGGAGGGGAAGGGGACAAAAAAGAATTGAGATGTATTATGTACAGGGATAAATGATAAATATGACCATTATGTACTATAAACATGTACTAATAAAACAGATTAATAAAATAAAATAGAAAAAAATGAAGTGAGGGCCTAATTATATAATAAAATAAGGAAGTACAGGACCTGGGGCTCACTTGGGAAAACCAACGGGCAAATCCTTTAGTGGGTAAAGAAATAGAAACCTTTCAGAAGGTATTAACTGAAAATGCCCTTCAAGAAGCCATTATGAAGCACAAAACATGTCTGCCATTATAACCACAGACAGAAAGCTGAAGTAACACATAAACACACCATAAATTATTAAGTATTCATGTTTGTTCATAAATACTCATTGGAAAGTCCCCTTTTTTGGGAATGCAATGACTTATTTTTCATTTTCAAATTAGATGGCACTATTTGTGCCCTCTGTGTCAAGGTAAGTAAAAACTTCAAAGAAGAAATTTGTGCATCATTGTGTCCTGGACTCTGAAATAATGTAATTATATATTAAAGTATATTTTCTTTCAGATCCAAACATGATTATTTCAGTTTTCCTTGTCTGTTTTCATACACTTCACTATTTTGTATGAGTCAGACCACCAGCAATTATTTGGTTTTAGGTGTTCCAGTTTCCACTGTGGAATTACAAAAGTAATTGAAGAGTAAAGCTTGAACTTTAAAGTTTAGAGAGTAGTTCAAAGGAATGATTCACATCACAGCAGTAGTATTAGTTTATTGTAGCAAGATATAGAGAAGCATGGTCTGAGTTTCTTTATTACTTGTGACTTCCACCACAAACACATGCTGTATGTGTCCCTTACGCTTGAGTAGAGGGAAAAACTTAGTTTTAAATTTCAATATAAGCATGGCACTCAACACTCTGATTTGAAAAGAACAAGTTATTTTATAAAGTGTGTGATAGTTAAATCAAAAAATAAACCTACATTGTCAAAAGGGGAAAAAATTCAATATATTTCTTGAACTGTCTCCTTAAGCTTAAGAAAATTACTAATATTCTTGCAGCTTCAGCTATCCTATCATAATGGGACTAGCCTACCTACTGTCAGGGTTGCTATTAGAGTAGTTTTATAATATAGATGCTTCTTAACTTATGTCAGTTATGCTATAATATACTTATCATAAATTGAAAATGTTGTAAATCAAAACCACATTTAAGTTGGGTGTAGTGGAGTATGGATGTAATCACAGCTACTCAGGAAGCTGGGGCAGGAGAAGCTCAATTTGGAGCCCAGCCTGGGCAACTTAGCAAGGTGTGTGTGTGGGGGAGGGTGGGATATCCCAGTACAGAAAATCCCTTTAATACACTTAAACTACATCACATTATAGTTCAGCAGCTCAATATACCATGCAGACATCTCCAACTTGTGGCCTGTAGGTGGGACATGCCTGGCTTGCCTGGGCCACACTGGACTAACAGGAATTATCTCTGGCCACATATAATATATACTCTATAGTTAATGTACATAGACAAAAAACTCTTTTTCAAAAACATTTTATTATAACATAGATGTGTCAAACCTGCTTAGAGTATTGGTTGTTTGCCCTCATGACCATGTGACTTACTAGGATTTGCAGTTCATTGCTGCTGCTCAGCATCAGAAGACATTATTGCACAATATATCTTTAGTACCTGAAAATATAACACTTTGAAGTACAGTTTCTACTAAATACACATGGCTTTTGCAACATCATAAAATAAAGTTCATAAATTGAACCATTGTAAAGTGGAGACTATCCACATTTGCAAAAAGTTTGCATAGTATATTAATAGTATATTAATAGTATATTAATCACATAAATTTGTAACTTAGTCATACCAAAGCCCAACTAAAATTATAGGTAAGGAATTTTTAAAAATGGTATGAACTCCAAAGATCAAGGTTACTTAAAGGAGTAGTGAGAGTAGGAACTAGTTTAACATATATTTGGAAGATGCAAAGAAAGTGGAGGTATAGTGAGTAATTTAAAAAAGATAGAAACATTGTATTTCTCGATAGCAACTTGGAACCTGGAAGGCCATGGAACTTCAAAATTTGTCCAATGCCAGAATCTGAAAGAAATGATTTTCAACCGAAACTTGATATCCAGCCAATGTACCAAACAAGTGTGAAGGAACAATGCAGATATTTTCCAATCTTTAGGTTTCTAAAGTATTTTCTTTCCATGGACTTTGTATTTAAAAAAAAAAAAGGCTACTGGATAATGTGCCTTAGAAAAATGAGGGAATAAATCAAGAAACAGGAAAATATGAGAACTACTATACAACAGAACTGACATGGAAGAGAGGTAAGTGATACTTCCTGTGACGACTCTGCAATAGATCTAGACTATAGCTACATGATAAAGTAAGGAAGTAGACTAAATAAAATGGAACTTAGGGGCCTGAGATTTAGCTCAGTGGCACCATCCCTGCTTTGCAAGCCCAAGGTCATGAGTTCAATGCCCAGTGCCAGAAAGAAAAAATGGACCTTAAAAGCTTCTGAGGTTCAAATATTATAAAAATTATAGATGCATGAAAAGTTTAGAGGGTGAAAAGGCAACTTCTACTTTAAGGAAAATAAAATGTAAAATACAATCATTGTACAATACTTGAATTGTAAATTAACAATAGTCACAGTGTGAAAATTGGCTATCTAGTTAACACTAAATTGTGATAAAAATACTTGAGAAGACTAGAGCAAAAAACAAACATAAAGGAAAATAAAAAGAGGTGATGGTGGTGACCTAAGGCTGAATCTTTATCTTTTATAGCAGAAAGCCCACAAACGTATGATTAATCAATCATTAGCAGCAGAAGCATAGCATTTGAAAACACTGAAATAAATATGAAAAGAAAAAAATAAGAGGATGAAAGTGATTGTCTTCCAGAAGTATATCCAGGATGAGACCATTTTCAATGTAGTACTTTTAGTTCATCTATCTCTAAGCTATTCTTATGTGCTATGGTGATAAACAACAAACAAACAATAAAGTCTGGAGAGCCAAGCTGC